TCAGAATTATCAACTAATATTTACACAACACCAAATGCCACACACTGCTACACTTTTATTAAATAACACCCTGGGTCACTGCAGCCAATCCCAGGGCACATCGCCAGCCTATAGGCTAGTTACAAAAGATGGCGCTGGTGAGCTTCCGAGATGCAAGTGTGTGCGCTTTTACTTCCGGTTTTATAGAAATATGAAGGAAGAGGTGACGATTTCGCAATAAAAAACTGTATTTTATCAGTGACCGGAGAGAACATCCTCACTACACTGCTGTACACCTCAGTGCACTAATTTGCTTTCATTCTTCCTTTTTGATGCTGAAGTTCGTGCTCAGTGGTTACTCAAATTTTGTTGGGATCATGAATTTTTGTAGTGGTCGTTTCTCTGCGTTGTGTTATAATGTATTTTTTATTATTAAAAAGAAGCTTCACACAAATATGGTCATGCTGAGGTGATTTTATTTCGCTCCTGCATACCACACACAACTAGGCGATCTTTCTTAAAATCAGCTGAGTCTCTGTTTTGCCTGTTCACCACAAGATATGTTTGAATACACAAACAATGTACATGTACAATGTGCAATGTACAACCTATTAATAAAAAACAATGTTTTTTTTAGTGTGTTGCATATATTTACAATTATTTACATATACATGTAGTCATCATACATAAACATCAGGTCAGACGGAAATGTCTCTGGGATGAAGCATCTTGGTCAATGATCCCAAACTCTCAGTGTGGGAAGAGTATAGTTGTTCTAAAAGACAGGGAACAACTCCTTTTTAAAGTTTTCTCAGTCCACCAGGTGTCAAAACAAAACTCTCTTTAGGATGTGCACTACACACTAGTAGTTTTTGTAGTACTGAAGTGATCCAAATTGAATTTGAGTGAGCACTGAGCCCTAACTTCAGCATCAACTGGTAAGAATAGAAGCAAATTAGTGCATTGAGGTGTGCAGCAGTGTAGTGAGGATGTTATCTTCTGTCGCTGATAAAATAGTTTGTTTTTGTTTATTTAAACATACAAAAATTTGGTAACAAAAATGTGAAATCTTACTCTCATAGTTCTATACGACTAGAGGTAAACAAGCACACACTTGCGTCTCGAAAGCTCAACGGTGCCATCTTGTGCAATTAGCCCATTGAGAGGGAAGGTGTAGGAGAGAGACAGAGAGAGGGACACGCACCTGCAAACACAACTTGTGCTAAAGGGCTGTATTCCTGCAGCTCAGCCGACCAGTTTTCTTGTGGCGCGGGAATTCATTTCTGAATAAAATGCAGTAGCGGTCGGGAACTCTGATGTCATTTGAATAGGAGCAGGCGGTCTAACAATATAGCGTTCCCACTATATAGTGCACCCTCCAGAAAGAGAGAGCGCGTGCATCTGCCATAGTGCTGTGTGTGTATGTGTGTGAGAGAGGGAATGAGAGAGTGCACTACTGCTTTGGAGTATTGCCCTTTTTGTTTTGTTTGCACGCAGCAACGCTGCACTGCTTTGGCAATACGAATGTAGTTATTTTTCATACCAATAAAGCACCTAAAATGTGAACGTGAGAGCATGCACATCTGCCGTGGTTCTCTCTCTCTCTTTCTATCTCTCTCTCTCTCTTTTTCTCTGTGTGTGTGTGTGGATGTGTGTGAATGAGAGAGAGTGTGGTCATTCGCCATGATGCTGTGTCTGCTCCTTGTAATAGGCTGATTGGACTCTGTAACATCCAGCTGGGTGTTTTTGTTTTGGGAGGCCTGTTTAATCGCTATACATTCTTCTTTGGCCCCATATGTACCTGCTATTTTAATAGAAATAATGCTGATATGATATGTAACACAGGGCAAAGCAGTGGCGCAGTAGGTAGTGCTGTCGCCTCATAGCAGAAAGGTAGCTGATTTGAACCTTGGCTCAGTTGGGGTTTCTGTGTGGAGTTTGCATGTTCTCCCTCGCGTGGGTTTCCTCCGGGTGCTCCAGTTTCCCCCCACAGTACAAAGACATGTGGTACAGGTGAATTGGGTAAGCTAAATTGTCTGTAGTGTATGAGTATGTGTGTTTGTGTGGATGTTTCCCAGGGATGGGTTGCGGCTGGAAGGGTATCCGCTGTGTAAAAATATGCTGGATAAGTTGGCGGTTCATTCCACTGTGGCGACCCCGGATTAATAAAGGAAATAAGCTGACAAGAAAATGAATGAATGATATTTGAAACACAATCGGTAGTTGGCAAATATATTGAGTGGATATGTTTGTAAATCTGACTTTGGAGTATCCACAAACCTCACCGCACGTCACACAGCACTCATGCCTCATCTTAAAGGAGCAAATGAATATACAGCATGAATAAAATTTCAGCCCCGTGCAGATCTCTAACTTGTACTCCTGAAAAACCACAAAAAAAAATTGGTGTATGCTCAATTGGTATATAAAAGCTCATTCTGAACTTCTGAAATTTTAGATTTGGCAAAAAAATAGAGGTTTTAAGGGGGTAGCTAGGGTTGCCACCCATCCCTTGAAATACGAAATCGTCCTGTGTTTGAGAATGAATTGTGCATCCCGTTTTGGGTTTTGTCCCGTATTTTTATAATAATTTAAAAGTAGCTTTTCATGCAAATCATCCCACACACATTTACTGAAGATGCCTCATTTCCTACTTTTGATTGGGTAATGCTTGATGTCATCGTTATTTTGATTGGTCTTTGTCCAGTGAGGAGGGCAGGTCTTCTAAGCAGAGTAGGTCAAGTTTTGACAGAGAGTAATGGCAGATTCTTCTCCAGGTAAGCCTCCGCGTCTTAAAGTTTCAGAGTTTAAATGCAGGCCAACCTAATAATACATTCAATCTGATCAAACAACAGGTTTATAACTTTCATCTCTGTTTCAAATGTGTGATCACTACAGTAGCAGACCCTGCTGTACACACATCTTACAACCTACAGACTATGCAATGATAACTACATTTCCTGATTGTCAGCCTTGCATCACTAGTTTTGAATTCTGTTTATAACAGGATCTGAAGAGAAGTTATTGAAGAGCACAGTGAAGATAGGACACATGTAATGATCAGAGCAGGTAAGAGATGTCCTGACTTTGAGGCATCATTTACAATACATTGTTAAATTAAAAGGTTGAATGACAGAGATTTGGCACTTAGGTCTTTGCAGCAGTTATGACAGCCTAATTTAATTTCATCACCAAGAACTTCAGTTACCAAATTAATCTGCATTTACTGTAGAATACCGATTAATCCATTCATGCACTCATTCAGTTGCTTTTGCTTGATCAGTTTTATCATATATGGATTATGTTCTTGTAATTACTAATTATTAGGGATGTAACGTTATTGTAAATAAATATTGTAAATATTAATTTTTTTCGATATTACCGTAGTCGCATGACTCGGTAAAACTATAGGTCTTCTGAGAAAATTTGCTCAGGCGAATGAAGCGAACGGGAGGTAGCGAAAACTACAATTCCCATCAGCCCATGCTTGACCATCATCCCTTGCGGTCTGTTGTCGCTACAGATCCAGTAATGCGGAAATGGAGTGTGCTGCTAGAAGCGGGGATGAAAAAGAGCTGGAAAACCCTAAAGCGGGTGTTGTCGTCGCGCGCGTACTGAATAGCGGTGTTGTCGCGCGAGTTCTTATCAGCTGTGTTGTCGCGCGAGTTCTTATCAGCTGTGTTGTCGCGCGAGTTCTTATCAGCTGTGTTGTCGCGCGAGTTCTTATCAGCTGTGTTGTCGCGCGAGTTCTTATCAGCTGTGTTGTCGCGCGCGTACTGAATAGCGGTGTTGTCGCGCGAGTTCTTATCAGCTGTGTTGTCGCACGAGTTCTTATCAGCTGTGTTGTCGCGCGCGTACTGAATAGCGGTGTTTGTCGCGCGAGTTCTTATCAGCTGTGTTGTCGCGCAAGTTCTTATCAGCTGTGTTGTCGCGCGCGTACTGAATAGCGGTGTTTGTCGCGCGAGTTCTTATCAGCAGTGTTGTCGCGCGAGTTCTTATCAGCTGTGTTGTCGCGCGAGTTCTTATCAGCTGTGTTGTCGCGCGAGTTCTTATCAGCTGTGTTGTCGCGCGCATACTGAATAGCGGTGTTGTCGCGCGAGTTCTTATCAGCTGTGTTGTCGCGTGAGTTCTTATCAGCTGTGTTGTCGCGCGCGTACTGAATAGCGATGTTGTCAGCACACTGTTCAGATTGATGCAGACATGAGATCTCTATCTTACTCATGGTTTGTCCTCTCAAGTGGGGGAAAGACAATGCACAACGTTACCCACTGCTGTCAACCTGGGCCAAGTCATATCTCTCTGTCCCAGAAACCTCAGTCCCAAATGAGAGGGGTTTTTTCTGTTGCAGGGGACATTGTAAATACCCAGAGATACCAGCTTTTACCAGATTATATTTATATGATAATTTTCCTTTAAACCCATCTCTATCTAAGTGAGTGAGTGATTAAATGTTGAATGTGATGAGTTTTCAACAATACTAAATTGAAACTTTATTTTTTACATGGTTTAATATTTTTTTGTTATTAAAACTGAAGTTCCTGTTTCAAAGCTTACAGATAGATGGCTAATTTGTATGTCATTGACACTTTTGGCACTTTTTTGGAGTATTTTCATAAGTTTTGTTTTTTCCTGTAAATGATTCAATAAATACCGTACCATGACATTCATACCGAGGTATTACCGTACCGTGAAATTCTGATACCTTTATATCCCTACTAATTATGGATTGATTTGTAGTTTTTTTTTTTTTTTTTTACAACAAAGTAACATTCTAAATTCAGTAATTTCACTATGAAACTATTCGGTATGTGAATTGTTTTCCCAGATGGATCAACATCTCTTTTGCTTTTTCATCTTGTCACTGCAGTGTGACTGTTGAGATCAGTCTAATGTGGATGTTTCATCACTGATGTTCTCTGGCCACCAGATGATGCTCAAGTGCAGGTGAGATCAATTCTTAATCTTTTTTTTTTTTTTTACACCAGACTCCACTTCATCACTTCATTTTTTTATTAGCATTTCAAAGTACATGGGTTTTCATACAAAATTTTGTTTCTTTTTTGTAACTTCACACATCACACAACTACAACAGTTTTATATGCTCTGTGTTTTCATTAAGATTCAGATCTGTGACAGAAATTAAGCAATGTGTCATTAATAAAACTGGAGAAAATAGCAATACATTTGAATAATACAGAAATTGTGACCCTAATTCTACATTACAGCAAAGATACAACATAACATTCTTCTTTATATTTAAGATAAACAGAATTATTAGAAATATTAGAAAGCCAATGCATTAAAGTAGATAGTAGCAAACATATTGCATTAAAACAATCTCTAAAGCCCAAGCCCATGCATCATGCTTGATTTGTTTCTTTGCTTATTACAGTAAATGAATTTGATTTCTGCATACTCCTCTTTTGCAAAAAAAAAAATAAAAAATCATGATGCATCCGTTGCATCATAGTTATATGTTTTGCTCTCTAAATCTCTGCCCACATCTCTGTCACTACTGACCAGTGTATTTTTTTAGTTCCTCTCTAAATCCTTTGATGTCCTCCAAGACTTTGCAGAGCTCTTTGTGTGTTTTCCTCATCTGTGCAATTGACTTCAGCACACTGGATTTGACCTTTTCTGGATCATCATTTCTCCAGTTCTTTCTCATCTCATGAATCTCTTTGGCATCTTTCACTATGAAGATGACATCAACAACAACTAATATTCCACTCAACACGCCTGACGCTGCAGCTACTGCTCGTCCTATTTTCGAAGCCTGAAGAGCAATCCTGCCCACATTTGCCAGCATAGCCAGACTCATTGCTCCAGTGGCACAATCTGCTGCACCTTTGCCGATCTCCCATGCTGGTTTTGTGTTGTCAGAATGTACGTTTCTTGCAAAAATAGAGAACTTGGAAATTTTTCCGAGCACACCTCTCAGTTTGTTCAGAGTATTGAGGATTGGTTCACTTGAACTTTTATACTTCTGCTCAATTTGTTCAAGATTCTCGCGATATGATTTTTGCTTTACTGAGTCTGTAATGTTGGAGGCAGCACCTGTTATTCCACCTGCAGCTCCAACTCCAACACCTACAGCAGTTACCAACAGAGATGCTCCAAGAGTGAAAGGTGCCAGAATTGCACCAGCCACTGCAGCGACTCCTCCTGCAGTCCCGATCACTGCTCCTGACAGACTGCCTGCTGTGGCTTTATAATGCATATCCTCTAGTGAATCTGTTGTTTCCCCCCACTCTTTAACTAAAGCCTCAAAATTTTTATACTGATCATTATAGGCCTTGACAAAAGCATTGATGGACTTCTTTAAGCTTTGTTCCAGCACTTCTGGAATTTTCTTGTTTCTCTTTACTGTCTCAGTCAGGAATGGTCTTGTGAGGATCTCTGCAGCTGAAGGTCTGTCTTTAGGGTCACAGCTGAGCATTTGGCTGATCAGTTTTCGTAATTCCTTTGAGTATCTTTCTGAGATGTGGGGAATTGTTCCATTTATACTGAGGGCATGGTTAAAGCGACGCTTCTTAATATCAGCCTGTAAAGGAAAATAAAACAAAATTCTCAAGCCAACATATTGTTGTACTATTTAAACTATATTATTCTGGCTGTATATATATATACACAATCTCCTTATGGGGCTTCAATGCTTCAAGCCTTAAACTTTACTGACAAAATTGTCCCATCTGGCCAATCATGAAGCTGATATTCTGTGCCACATCCCTGACCAACATTTTGTTTGACAAGTGTCGAGAGGTAGAGTAACATTGGTGAATAATTTACTTTGTAATAAAGTGAGTTGCAATAATTGAGGTGTGAAGTGATAAAAGCATGTGTCATTCAAAGTGCTTTAATAAAATAAATGATTTAACTTTATAAAGACAACATGGATGAAAGAAGCAGGATTTGACTACAGCATTAATTTGTTTATCAAATTTGAGACTAATTTGGGGGCGATGCTATGTGGAAAAAACTACCATTATGGGGATTTCGTTTAGAAAGCCAATCATCTGAAAGAGTATGTAAATGGGCCAATGGAATGCCAATGAGTTGGCAGCTTCAGCTTGCGCAGCTAATGCTCGTTGCAATCTATTTGGCAATATTAGGACATCGCGTGCAAAGCTTAAGCATCCTATTTTAGCTGAAGAGACTTTCACCCCAACAGCTAAGGGGCAATCTTTAGGGCAAAAGAACATAGCATTTCCGTTCCCCCCGGAAATGGAACTCCAGGGGAACTTTAATGCCATGTTGAAAAATCTTCCACTATAGGGAAATGTATGGAAAACACCATAATGATTGAACCTTACCTTCGCCCCCGATGAGAGGTTTGCCAGACAAAGAGAGCGTGAGCGCACCTGCAACACCAGAGGGGCGGTCTTCCAACATGTTCCCTGGCTCTTACTTATCCCACTTCAACAGAAGTTTTATGGATTTAGATATATTTTTAGGGGAGCTGCAAAGTGTCTACATAATTTCTAGGAACTTGTCCGCCTGTGAGGGGGACTGCACCGTGGCTGTAAGCATATAGGATTGCCTAGTGGGGATCGTGCATAGCAGAATGAGGTTGCACTCTCAGATAGTAGGTCCTCTCACAAAGGGATCTGCTAGGGGAGGGCCGTCACGAGGAGGGAGAACTCTGACATCCAGATCCGGTTGGGCCAGGGAGGCGCAACTAGCAAGACCTGCTCCTTGTCACCCCTGACCTTGCATGCATTTTTGTGCATCCCCCGAGGCCAGCTATGGGCCAGTGCATTCGTGCGAAGAGAGCCCTCGGTCAGAGAAAAAACAGCTAGCAATGAGCTTCCCCGAATAACGCCCATGTCAGCTGAATAGACTCGGGGTGGAGTTTCCATTCCCTTGGACGTAAAGGCTGCCGTGAGAGTGCGTCAGCTGCACAGTTGAGCTCTCCTTAAATGTGAATTCTGCGGAGCAATTTCAGCCACATATGACTCCAGAGGAGCAGTCAGCGGGCGAGCTCTGGCGGCATGAGCGGATACCCCCCATGCAGTTAATATATGCCACCGTCGCCTTGCTGTCCGTTCTGACCAGTGTTTTCGCTCCACCACTGGTAAAAAACGGCGGAGAGCGAGGAACAACAGCTCTAGGCGATTAATATGCCATACCAACAGAGTTCCCTTCCACAGGCCTGCAGCTGCATGCCCGCAACACATGGCCCCCCAGCCCGTGTTGGAAGCATCTGTCGAAAAGACAACATGTCTGGACGCCTGTCCTAGAGACACTCCGGCCGGTAGGAACATGGTCTTATATTTATAGTAACATGTGTAGTAATCCGAGCGGCGTCACAGTGGCTGCAGATGCCATATGCCCCAGGAGCCTCTAAAAGGATTTCAGTGGGACCACTATTTTGCTGTCGAGCTCTCTCAGACAGTTTAGCAACAGCTGAGCGTGCTTTCCGGAGAGGCACGCTGTCATGGTGACCGAGTCCAGCTCCAGCCCGAGAAAAGAGATCCTCTGCATTGGGACAAGTTTGCTGTTTTCTTGGTTGACCTGAAGCCCCAACAGGTGGAAGTGCCGGAGCACTTTGTCTCTGTGCATAATCAATTGTTCCTGAGAGTGGGCTAAATCAGCAAGTCATCAAGATAATTAATCATGCTGATGCCCACAAGCTAAAGGGGTGCTAGGGCACCCTCCACAAGCTTGGTGAAGACCCATGGAGACAGAGAGAGCCCGAAGGGGAGGACTTTGTTCTGCCAATCTCGACCCTCGAACTCAAACCGCAGGAACTGACGGTGGCATGGAAGGAGGGAGACATGGGAGTATGTCTCCATTCTATGTCCCTCATCCTGAAGGGGAACACCTATGCTTTTGCTCATGGAGAAAGACTAGGGGTTAAAATATTGAGGTCAATAACATTCAAACCGAAGAATCACTTGGGGCAAATAAAATTACTTCTGTTTTTTTCTTATTCTGAGCCAAAATAATTTTACTTGACTACAGGCTAGCAAGATCCCAATAGAGCTTGAATCTTTTCATTGAAAAGGGATGTGTAACTGTCGTCAGCATAAATGTGATAAATATATGGGGAAATTACATTATTATAGGTTAAAAGATTTAGTTTTGGTTTCTTTTCACTTGATCTCGCAGTACTATGTCGCTCCTGTTTAACAAATGACTTGAAATGTGAGGACTTGAAATTGATGGACTAATGTCTTATCATTTTGGATTGGGACAGCTTGCGTAACTTTTTAGTTTATGGATATGTAACTTGTGATGTGACAGTTTTGTGATAGTTTGTTATAGTTTTTCAGTTAATCTCTATCATATGTAGCTTATTATTTTAGTGTTTTGCCCAACCATTTATATAGTATCAGTATATATAATTCCATTCCCTATTTAATTTTGTTCATAGCTCAGTCAGTATTGAGTAATGCCATGGCTGGATGTAGGCCTTCAGTTAAGCTGAACACACCCAAATGTTCATCCCATTAGATTTTCAGAATATACACCATCTGACTACTTTATTAGGGACAGGGTACACCTCACTTATTATTATTTGTTTTTTAAACAATCTCAATCATATTTGTAATTAAATTGAAGTTTTAACTCATTGTAGTTAGTGTTTGTAGATCATAAAGCAAATAAAAGTGAATTTACCATTAAGCATAATTGGCAATAATTTATTATAGTGTTAATAAGTCAAAATAATGATGATAAAAATGATAATGATAATAATAATAACAAAGCAACATGGTGGCTCAGTGGTTGGCACTGTGGCCTCAGAGCAAGAAGGTTGCTGGTTTAAGTCCTGGCTGGGCCAGTTGGCATTTCTGTGTGGAGTTTGCATGTTCCCCTGTGTTCATGTGGGTTTCCTCTAGGTGCTCTGGTTTCCCCCACAGTCCAAGTTAAATGGGGAAACAAAATTGGCTCAATTAGTGCATGTATGTGTGGTGTATGTTTTAGTGTAGTGAATGTGAGAGTGTATGGGTGTTTCCCAGTACTAGGTTGCAGCTGGAAGCGCATCCACTGCGTAAAACGTTTGCTGGAATAGTTGGCGGTTGGGTTAATGTTAGGGAATGAATGAATGAATACATGAATGAATAATAAAAACAGAAACACTCACCCAAATGTCCAGCATGCAGAGGTCATGGAGCAGCCATCCCAATGCCCATATGTCACTTAAATCATGCATAAAAATAAATAAATATATTTAACTGATGAAGTGAAACACATTTATACCAACAAATCATGCTTCATTTAAAAAAAAAAAGTTAATCTGGAAAGCATAGTTAGCATCTTAACATAACTTTACTAAGCATTGTTTAAGTGATATGCATTTATCAGTGTATTGTATGTTTTTATATACCTTTTGGAGTTATATTTATTCTCATAACCTTCTGGACTAAAATAGAGATCTGTTCCCACAGCTGATTGTGCGTATGCATCAGCTCTGAAAAGAACAGTGATGTAAAATGAGCACCAACAAAAACTGATATGATTCAGAGGGGACTCCAGCTTATGACTCCTAACATAAACAATCCAGGAAACAAAGAGCTGACGGCAACAGAGAAACAATACTGAGCCATGAATGTGAGCGTGAGTGGTGCTTATATAGTCTGTAATAGTGATGATGAGCTGTGTGTGCGAGTGTACAGATTGCTAAAGCCTGTTTCATACCGCAAGTGTGAGCAGCGCGCATTTTTTCAGCATTCTTGTTAACAGATTAGAGCTTTCATACCGCATGCAGCAGCAGAGCGGGTCTATTTTTCCCGTGATACTCATGCTCAATTAAAATGACAGTGCATTGACAAGGACCAAAAACAAATTCAATGACAGTAAAAAGCAGCTATTTTACCCAATAAATACATCAATAATATCCACTGATTTATATATAGTCAATCAATGAACTTAAACAATGAAACACAGCAACACATATTTATTTGGACCCAAACTACAATGCCTAATTAAAAAAAAACAATAAAAATTATTAATTTTGCTTAAGTTGCACACTAGTTTGATCATGTATAAATAATATTATAAAAATATTGTGTATATTATTATAACTATAGACCTACATCATCCTGACAATCAAAAACAAAATGACATGATGCCACAGACGATTGTCTTCTGACCGAGTGCACCAGACAGGAATGACACTCCTCATAGAGCTTGAGAAGCAGACAGTTGCTTATGATCTGAATAATTTGTAAAATAAAGACTTGCAGGTTAAGGAAACAGCAGAGGAGGAAGTTTCTGCGGGGCTTGGTGCAAATGAAAAAAAAGTGTATTTATAGAGAGATAGGGAACTAGATAGAATAGACAGAGATAGATTAATCAGTGCAGCAGCTGCCGATGAGCTGCACGCTGCAGATGCAACCGGTGTGAAACGCAAACGCTTGCATGCTGCTTCTGCTCTCCATACGCGCTGCACATGTGCTGCTCACGCGCTGCTCACGCTCTGCTTACACTTGCGATGTAAAACAGGCGTAATAGATAAAGCAGGTAATTAAAGTCTAAGTTGGAGCAAAGCATAATTGGTTGTGTAGTCTAGGTGTTTGGCTGGGGGTGTTCATGCCCTCTAGTGAGTCTGGTGAGCACATCACACACACACACACACACACACACACACACACACACACACACACACACACACACACACACACACACACACACACACACTATACAGTGGAAAAGAGCCATAAGTGTTTGGTTTGAAATAGTTGACCATTAGAAGGCCCTGAACTGAAGCATATTGATTTTACTAGAAGTAAAGCAGTGTTCTACTCTTATCTCCTTCCTGCCTGAATTGCTGGAATGTAGCATCATTAGGTCATGTTTCTGTTTTTACCTGTCCAACACTTTTGAGCATCCAAAATCACCTATGTTGATGTAGCCTTCTTCAGTCAAGAAAATATTCTACAAATAGCAACAGAAATATCATAAACCATACAGATCAGGTAATGATGTTTTAAGTGTCAATTTTGTAAGTGCATACCTGAGGTTTTAAATCTCTGTGAAGAACATTCTTCTCATGAATGTACTGCAGGGCCAGACAAATCTGAACCAGCCAGTCAAGAATCTACATAAAGATGAGAAACAAAGAGACACATTGTAAATATTAAATTAATGGCACATACAGTAAGACAGACAGACAGACACGTATATAGATAGACATTTTTATTCCTAAACACACACTGTACAAGGGCTTTTCTCCGCCTGATACTGCGCTTCTGCCCTCACCTCCCTCAAAGGTGGGTTGGCCAGTAGGTACCAGGCTATTCCATAGGTGGTGGGCGCCACCACATGGAAGGGTAAGCCGAGACCCCCATTTAAAGGGTCACAAAACACCAAAACATGTTTTGAGCTGTTGATAGTCGTATATGTGTCCCACACTGCTAAAAACACTATTAGGACACATATATCTCACTAAAAAGTGTAAATTGGTTGTTTTTGCGTTATTTTGAGCAAATTCTTACTTCCGGTTTGAAACGAATTTTTGAAGCTGCGTCACGGCCATGAGATCTTAGCGTGTATTCCAGCATGTAGACTGGACGTCTGCACCGAGGTGTACCGTTTTACGTCTCAGAGTGTGCTGCATTAATGCATGAGTAAGGCTTGGTTCAAACCAATCAGCACGCTCTATTGTGCAACTTCATTAATATTCATTACTGTCACAGTGTATACGACAGAGAAGCCACAATGTGTTGGCAAAACAAGCGTGTCTAGGAACATTGTTTCCCCGAGAGCTTTTCTCTTTTGCAAATGGAGATCCGGATTGTCCTGTCTCTACAGATTTGGTAAGTGCTCTGGTAAGTGATCGACCAGTGCTCTTTGTTTGTTGTCGTATCGAACTAACTATTGCACCGAGTGTAAACATGTTAGCACCACAACCAAACTATTACCATCGTGGAGGATTTGCACAGCATTTTGTGTGTGTGTTCTGACTCTGAAACACTCCCCCCTAAAAAGAGCTGGACACACCCACTTTTCTGGCTTTTCCCAAAGTAGAGGTGTGAAAACACCCTGCTGAAACAAGTGGGTTTCATGGCCCTTTAGGCATATGGGTTATCCAACATAGGCTGATTCTGAAAATAGGCTGATTCTGAAAATAGGCTGATTCTGAAAATAGGCTGATTCTGAAAACGTAGCCCTATATACATTTATGTAGATTGCAAATTTTGTACCCAGAAGTATGTATGGCTGCATTTGGGCTTTAAAGCGAACATTAGGGGGTGGGATGATGCTTTTTCTTTGCTTGCCTACATGCTTCCCTTCGTATGGATGGCTTTCCAGCTTACCAATTTGTCCAGTTAGTTCGCCTTGTACATCAGCAGACTTGAGACGCAGAGAGGAGACCAAAGACAGGAATGCCAATCTTGCTGATTTGGTGCACATATATCTTAGGCAGGAATATTCTGTGACACTGTTAGAGATTTTACCCAGGAGTCTTCCGTGGTGAAAGAACAGGCAAGCCCAATGGAGAAAATTGTCTTCCAGTGGGCTCGGAAGACTGCTTCACTGCTAGGCCCAACCACGAGTTATCTTCACAGGATGCTGGTCAGAATGCCCATGCAAAAACACGTCTGCCAATTCTTGAGCCTCCTTCTAGCACATGGCACTTCTATAAAAGTAATCTGTTAAACTGCAGACTGGGAGACACCTTACAAATTTGTGAGCCTTTGATCTCCGGGTGGAGCCAGTTTCCTCCTGGTTGCTAGGTAATGGCAGTTAACCAAGAGGAAACATGCTTGTCAACGTCAAAACATGCTTGCAGTGCCATTCGCCCTAACCCAGAGATGCAAGCACTTATTCTTCTCTGCTTAGCGAGTTTCCCTTCTGGTGAACCATAGAGAGTTCCACAGCGACCCCTAGAACCCGACTCGGTAGAGAAGACAGGTCCTTGGCCCATTACATTGACAGTATGCACATTCAGGCAGCCTTCGTTCTTGGTAACGGTGCCAGCTATGCATGATCCTTGTTCGCGATCCTATATGCGTCACTCAGGTAGACCCATGTCTTCCCTTCCCGCTGCCATCTTTTTATATGTCGCACTCCCCCTAGTTAGGGCTAGCCCATATTCATATTTTCCATTCTATACACCAGGCCCGGATTGGCTAATCGGGAGGACCGGGAGAATTCCCGGTGGGCCGGTCCGTTTTTTGGCCGCGAGAGCCGGTATCCCTAGCTCCAGAATCGGTTGCTCTCAGCAGTCACACTTTTTAAATTTATTTATTTATTTACTTGACCACAGCCTTTTTATTCATTATTTCTCTACTCTTTTTATCTATTTTCTCGCAGCTCAGTGAGCAAGTTGATATAACTTGGTCAACAGACATGTATTAGCTGTTGTGGTTCAGTGGATATCACGTTCGTTTTCGACCCCGTAGGCCTGGGTTCGATCCTCGTCTGAGTAAATTTATTTTTTTTTTTATTGTTAAGACATATACTACTGTTAGGGTTGTTGAACATTTGAAGTTCTTAAGTAGTTGTTTTCTCAAAAAAAGACGTGATAGTGTAATTAGAAACTGAATTGAAAATGACCTTATTTTAATATAGTCAGTCGTGAACTGAGGTGGGCCGGTCTGAGGCTTGAAACTCCAGGGCTGAAAAGGAGTCCCACTCCGGCCCTGCTATACACTTCTTCCAAAATGTCGTACTGACAAGGCATATTAGTTCAATATAATAATGCTACTGTTTTGTTTTTTGCTAATGTGTATGCCCCAATGGGTGGTCATGTTTGACGCAAAGAAATAAAATATGTAAAAAATGCAAAGTTTTTTTTACTTCAGAGATGAATACAATGGCTAAAGAAAAGGGTGTCATCTAAGTGTTCGTAAACAACCCCTCAGGGACTTCAGGTATTGTGTTTAGTCAGCCTGATCTCATGGGAAAATATAACTATTTTATATTTGGTCAGTTTAGTGGCTAATTTGTACAAATGTGTACAAGGTCAGTCCTATGGAAATGTACAATTTTAAAAAACAAGGCTTGGCACTTAACCCAAAACCCAACTCTCATTGGGGGATAAGCAAATCATACTAAATTGTTTGAATGAGACTGTACTAATTAATATGAACTAAATCTAAAAGTTGCGAATTGCGGTGAGATTGTATAGGTTTAGCCTATTAACGGTTTAACTTTTGAAGAAAAAAAAAAAAACATTCTAGTTCATAAACTGTTTTATTATTTGTAAGTAAGTGTTTTAATTGGTAGTTGAAATTATAAAGCATAATAATAATGTCTTGTGCATGAAAAACACAAACTGACTGAGTTTGAATGCTATTTAGATTAAGCATTTATTACTTTCTCTCGTTTATTTTTTAGCACCTCATATATTATTGACTGATTTGCTTGTTCCAACTGACATAATTATTTAATTTATAAGTATCTGTACTAAATGTACACTACCTGACAAATTCTGTCGCTTCTCCAAGTTTTAGGAGCAACAAATAATAACTTTTAGTTCAACATTTGATATCAGAAGTGTCTTATATGAAAGGCAAAGGCCTCTAGACTTTGCTTATTTGAGCACAATAAAATCTGATCATGCCTTAATTATTAATGATGTCATTAGGGCAGTAAGGTCTGACTCTGCTTAGACTAAAGTCTCATTACTGAACAGAAATAATGTGCAGTATAGAATATAAAGTCCTGCTGCAGTGGAGACAGAATGAATATTGTGTCTGACTCCATCATGAGCTTGGAGAACTGCATCCATACATCTCTGACATGACTCACATCACTGATTAATAAAGTCATCTGGAATGAAGAAGAAAGCCTTCCTGCAGGACTCCCAGAGTTCATCAAGAGTCTTTGGGCTCTATTTAGACGGTCCATGCGCAGAGCGCAAAACGCAGGGCGCAAACGCTTTCAGGGCGTGTCAGAACGCATTTTTGCTAATTTACGGACGGGAAAATCCGCTTTGCGCTGTGGCGCATGGTCTAAAAGGGTTGAGTTTATTTTCTTAATGAGTTATAGGTGTGTTTTGAGAATAAACCAATTACAGTCTCATCTCCCATTCCCTTTAAGAGCCAGCTGCGTCACGCCATAAGCACATTCGCTATTTACATGAAGTAAAGTAAGTCTAAGTGGAAAAAATGAGCATTTCACAAGCAAACAGTTAACAGTGTTATAACAGAAAACTGTTAAACAGAGTAAGAATGAGAGATAATGGATCTACTTTCACTTTCGCTCTTGGATAGGGAAACCTTTACACACAGACATCAATTAGTCTATAAATAATTAATTGTGTTTGTTAAGCGCAAATATTCGTCTCAAAACTATTTCTAAATTAAGTCCTAATTTCCAGCAAACGAATAAATGAACAATAATAACAAAGTGTGCTCAAAAACCTGAGTTATATCCTACAACACATGCTGTGCCCCATATGATCTGAAACCTGACAGGTGGACAAATCTAAGCTTGTTTTCAATAAAACAAATATAAATATGGATATAATAAATAATACTGCTAATAATAATAACATTATACAAAAGCAAATTGTTATGAATGAACTGAAAAAGCCTCCCGAGATGAAGAAGACATAAAAGCAGTGATTTTTCATATTTATGTAGGCTAGAAAATAATATGTTTTGTAATATTTTAATCCTTTATATTTATATCCTATATCTATTCTTATTATATCCTATATAGATCCTTAATATTTACATTTTTTCATACGTAAAGATGTTTGCCTATTGCTCTCTTGTGCGTATCAAGCTGTGCGTAAGCGAGTTTAGACCGGGTTAGTTTTGGTCTAATGAAAAATCTATTATAGTTTCTCAAAATAGCAACGTGCCAGCAGTGCGCCTCAGAACGCCTTCCTTTTTAGACCAGAACGCCTATGTGTGCACAAATGAGCGCTAATGCATTTGCTATTTAAACAGCATAGCGCAACGCCTCAAAATGACTCTTGCACCAAGCTGAAACTAGCAAACAAGTATTGCACCGCGCCTTGCGCCACATTGCGCCACATTCAACGCCTCCTCCTTCATCTTATCCCAGTCATGCTCAATAATGTTAAAACTGGTGACTGGGCTGGCCAATCTTGCAGTAGCCTGACCTTCTTTGCTTTCAGGAGCTTTGATGTGGTGCATGTGCAGCACAAATGTCTTGATACCTCAGGCTGTTGATGTCGATCATCCACTCTGCAGATCTCTCACACCCCCGCCCCCCATACTGAATGAGCCCCAAACCATGATTTCTCTTTCACCAATTTTTCATCAAGATTTCTATGAGAATATTGGGCCCATGCGGCTTCCAGTAGGTCTTCTGCAGTATTTGTGATGATTTGGATGCAGTTCAAATGATCAACTATGTCAAATTATTATTTGTTTCTCTTAAAACTGGAATCGACAGGTAGTGTACAACACATTTGCCATCTTAAGACACTGACCTGTTCTTCTTCAAAAAATGATTTCACTTTTTGTATGTTCATCCTGTTGCCAAGATCTCCTCCTGCACAATACTCCATCACAATATAAAAGAATCCAGCCTTGTCTGAAGAAAAAAAAACAATCAATTAAAAAATATGTAATATATTTGTAAGTATAAAGTCTTCCTTCACAATATGTATCTACTGTATCATTTTAAGTGTTCAGAAATTCAGTTTTCTAAATCCTAAAAGTAAAGGATTATAACCAATAACCTCTGGACATTTAAGCAAGCGTACCTTCAAATGACTCCACATAAGTAACTATATATCCATGCTTTAGGGTCTTCAAGATCTCAACTTCCTTTTGGACTTTTTCAAGATTCGTCGCCTATAAAAAGCATTTTTAACCAAAGCTCAAATTTAAGATTCCAGCATTTGAAAAATAATAGTGGTGATTATATTATCAACAGTACTTACATCTCTACAGTTAATCTCTTTGATTATACAGAGATCTTCATCCTTGTTCTTCACCAGAAACACCTTTCCTGATAAACCTGGTTTACATTCTTTTATCACCTTGTATCCATGTTTTTTCAACAATGATGCTAAAAAGTGACAGTGTACACAAAGAATAAACAACAGCTGCTAATGGAGCAGTGATCAGTATGAATATACAAATCAGCAAGTGACAGTGGAGAGTATGGCAGAATCAGGCATTTAGTCATTTACCAAAGCAAGAGAGAGAAAAGCAAGACACGGGTTGCTTCTGGCAGTTAATGATAATTATTGTTCTTGAACCTCATATACCACAAATCATATACCACAAAACAATCTGTGAAAATATCTTATTCTTCCTTAGTAGACTGTTAAAAAAAACAGTTTTTGTACCAGATTGTTAAATTATAAAATGTACAGTGCTCAGCATAAATAAGTACACCCTCGTTTTTACCAATTTATTAATTAATATACTCAATAATTGTTGATAAATGTATATACGAAAAATATATATGAAAAATATTTAATGTAAATGAAAAAATAAATGAAAAACAATGCTTAAATCAGATATTCTGCTTTGAATATGTGTATTGTGTGCTGAAACGCTGTCTTTGTTTTGGTTCTTTTAACCCGCCCAATGCCAGTTTAGCCAATTATATTTCAGCACCCCGGGTTGCCAGATGGTGGAAAACAGTGTATTTCATTTATTCAGTCAGGAAGCCTCTGAAAGCATACGTCCGTGACCAAAATGCAACCTCCGGTGGACAGTAACAGACTCCAAAATGAGACAGATTTAGAGTTCCACATGAGGTTATTAATTAGCAAATAATATAAATATAAACATTAGGTGAGCAGGTTACATTGTAACCCTGTGTCCTAACAATAAGATACGTTTGCAGATTCGCTGTGAGTTTGCACCAGACGAAACGCGACAGAAATACAGCCATTCAGAAGCACAGAATAGTGCACTCACTCACAAAAGGGTAAGGTTTATAATTTATTTAATACATATCAGGGGCGGACTGGCCATCTGGCAGACCGGGCGGTTTCCCGCTAGGCCGACGTACATTTTGGGCCGGGCTGATCATCGTCTTATGATCTGATCGGCCCATGAAAGGCTTAGCAGCCTATCGTTTTTTTTCTGCCTTATTAATTGACGCTGCTGTGATCTGTGACTCTCTGAAAGTAGATGCTTTTTTCCCAGACAGACAGACCGGGCCGGCCCATGCGACACTCTGCAGCCCATTGGCTCTTTTCTGTATTGACATTGGGCTGGCCCAATCACAAACTCCTATTTTGGACTGGGAGAGTCAGAGAGAAGAAATGGAAGGAAGGCGCAGAGAAAAATCGCGGGAAATACACCGGCGTTTCATTTAGCGGTTCTGAAAAGTTCTCTGTTTATTCTAGTACACGGCTAAAAACGCAAATCACGTGACCACACACTCTCTGCCAAGAGCTGCAGCCAGTAGTTCAGCGGGTGAGCATAAACCCCAGGTCAGAGTATAGTGCATGTCAGACAGTTCATCTGCTGGATCTCATCTCACCATAGTTGTTAAACTTGATAATGGATTCCTCTTGTTGTCTCTATCTAACAACTCTTATGTCTTTTAAATCACTTGTTCTCAGGTAACTCTGAGTGCAAAGATAAGCTAATATATTAATGTAACACACTTATTCTGCACATTGACTGATTGCTTACCGTTATCGTACGTTATACTGTTATAATGGCCATTATTGATTATTAAACTGATATTCTACAAAAGAGACAGGGTAAAGTTTTTTCTTTTTAATGACAATGAAAGGAAGCAGTAATATTTAAGCCCTGTTTTGTTATAAATATTCAGAGTGAAGATGACGCTCATATAAATATGCAGCTACACGACGCTGTTTGGTGTCTGTTAATCATAATATGAAATTAAACAAATTTGACTTATATTATGTTTTCATTGTTTAGATGCAAGCAGGATGAGGTGAAAGAGGTTAAAATGTAACACTGTTCCCTTTGAAGATTTAGCCATGCATCAGCAGGCAGTTTTTGTTATGTTTATTATTGAATATAGGCTGAGTGAAAAGTGTATTGAATAAGCTAAATTGGCTGTAGTGTATGAGTGTGTGTGTATGGGTGATTTCCAATATTGGGTTGTGGCTGGAAGGGCATCTGCTGCATAAAACATGCTGAAATAGTAGGCAGTTCATTCCGCTGTGGTAACCCCTGATAAATAAGGGACTAATGCGAAGAAAAATAAATGAATGAATAGTGTATTTTTTAGAACTCATCAAACATCTTTATGGACAGTATACAGAAATTAAATTGAGATAAAAGTTTGTATTTATTTATTTATTTCATGTATATGGCTTTTGTGTTTTATAGAATATGAGTTGATAAAAATATTGGACATGCATAGATAGATAGCATTTTGATTGAATGTAGTGGGCCACTCTGGCCCAAAATGCCAGGGCCGATTTTTTTGCCCCAGTCCAGCCCTGATACATATTAAACTTCTTTAACATGATTAAATGTAGATGCTGAATCACTGATATGTCTTGGTTTGCACAGAGTCACAGATTTAAAGTTCATTTTTAGATGGTTTCTTTTATTTTCCAGATCTGAGCAACTATCTGCTGCAAACTCACATTATGAGCATTAAACACCGAATAAAGCACATGAGCTGTACATGAGCTGATTCAGTTTTCTCTTGTTCAGTTGTGAGAAATTGTGTTGGTTAGGACAAAAATTCCTTTTAACATGGAGAACATACCTTCTATCAGGTGCAGTTGTTTTTAGTTAGAACACAGTTTAAATCAGCCTTTATAGGCTCGATTGTCAGACTCGCTTCTGTTGGTGTTGTTAATCTGGCAACCTGAGCTTGAGTGTGTTTTAAACCAGGAGTGCAATATCTAGTTCAACCACTGGGTGTCAAACTTACATACTGCACCTTTATTTAAAAGCAGTTATTGTACATTTTGGACTTTGATCTTCAGCCTTTTTATAAGTTTGGTACTGACTAATCTATATTGACTAATATATACTAATGTATATTTCTTGCAACATTTCTTATTATATTTTTTTTTCTTCTGGACAGAGTCTTATTTTAGGTTGGCTAGGATGAAAGCAATTTTCAAATATTTAAAGTTATATTATTATTCCACTTAATTTTTTTTCAATTGACTACAGAACGAATCACAGTTGTCCAATGACTTGCCTAATTAACCTATTTAAGCCTTTGAAAGTCACTTTAAGCGGAATACTATTGTCTTATATTTAACTTTTCATTCATTCATTTTCATTTCGGCTTAGTACCTTTATTGATCTGGGGTCGCCACAGCGGAATGAACCGCCAACTTATTCAGCACATGTTTTACATAGCAGATACCCTTCTAGCTGCAACCTATCACTGGGGAACACCCATACAATCTCATTCACACTCATACACTATGGACAATTTTAGCCTACCCAATTCACCTGTGCCGCATGTCTTTGGATTGTCGGGCAAACCGGAGCACCTGGAGGAAACCCACGCAAACACACGGAGAACATGCAAACTCCACACAGAAATGCCAACTGACCCAACCGAGGCTCCAACCAGCGACCTTCTTGCTGTGAGGCGACAGCACTACCCCTGTACCACCGCGTCGCCCACTATTTAACTATCTTGTCAATATTATGTACTGCTATCATGGCTAAGATAAAATAAATCAGTTATAAACAGTAACACTAATAATCATTTATTAAGCATTAGCTAATAGTAAATTCATTATCTGTTAAGCATTAACTCTACATTAATAAGCGTTAGTAAGCAGTTTATAACTACAGCTACAAATGCTGTAATCTTGACTTAAAACCACATATATAATGTGCAAAATAATTATATTTTTATACTTTGATAATGATTAATTTGTCATTACTAAGTTAAGTATTGTATTAGTTGCTTGGTTAAATAGTTGGTTGTTTTTAATTCTTAATAATCAGGCATATAATAATAGTTAATTTGTATATTATTAATGCTTTATTAACTCAACTTCATCCAGTTTTTTGAGCTAATCTTACGTGAGGACTGTTTAAGCTTTATATATCCCTTATAAATGACAATTAAAGGCTCAGATATATGCTAAACAGGAGAAGAGAACATAAGCAATATTATCCATTTCGGTAACACTTTATAATAACTACACACTATAAACTATTTATTAAGCATTAGCAAATAGTGAATTCATTATCTGTTAAGCATTAACTCTCCATTAATAAGCATTAGTAAGCAGTTCATAACTGCAGCTACAAATCCTGTTTTTTTTACTTATAAGCACCTATATAATGTGCTTAATAATTGTACTTTCATACTTAGTTAATGATTTATTTTTCATTACTAAATTAAGTATCACATTATTTACAAACCATTTGTTTTTAGGATCATTCAGAATGAGTTAGTAAATGATTAATAAACTATTGAAATCAACATTTATATGTCTTATTATTCAGGTATATAGTAATAGTTAATTATGATGTTAATAAATGCTTTATAAACTCGACTTCATGCAGTTCTGTGACCTAATCTAAAGTGAGAACTATCCATGCTTTATAAATGTCTTATAAACAACAAATAAAGGCTCAGAATCAAATTAACTATAATCTTTGCAATCTTATCTAAAAAGTGAAATTACTGTGAAGTTTAAACATTGCTGAATAACAGGAGTCAAAATACAACATCAAGTTGGATAAAAATAAAAAACAACAACAATATAGTCATTTAACAATATAATAAGACGCAATGTTTAAACTCTACAGTGATTTTATTTTAAATCAGGTTGCGAAGATTTATTTTTCATTTGAAGTACAGTTTCATTTGTGTATCTTTGAATGAAGAGGAATGAATAATATCATTCTTCCTGTTTAGAATTTAACTGAGACTTTATTTGACATTTATAAAGGATTTCTAAAGCATAAACAGTTCTCACTTTAAATTAGGTCACAAAACTGCATGAAGTTGAGTTAATAAAACATTTATTAATATACAAGATAACTATTAATATATGTCTAAATAATAAGACATATAAATGTTGATTTTAATAGTTTATTAATCATTTACTAACTCATTCTGAATGATCCTAAAAA